TCCCAAGAGGTCACAAGGAAGGGGGGTGTGGTGGCCAGCATAAGCAGATTTGGGCCAAGGGGTGACCCCCAAAAGGAGGTGAGGAGATGGGCTACCCCTTCTTTGATCATAGACTAGATTTTGCACACCATAGATTGCTGGAGTGGGGGGAAACTCGGATGCAGCCTGGAGACCTTCCTGCTGGGTATTTCAGTACCTGGGGGCATGTCTAAGCCCTGAGTACCAACCGAGACAATATATAAATGCACTGCCTGGGTAGAGACTCATACAGGCAAAGCAGCTGCTGGATGACATGACAGCTGAGGCTTGCCTGAAAACCCAGAAAGAGAAAAAGAGAGAAACAGCTAGAGAGAGGCCAGACTCATCCATGTACTTGTGCTTCAAAGGAGTAGTTGTTTAGTAGGGATTGCCCATCCAACCTATGGAAACAGTGTTATTAAGTTACATGGGCATACACAGAGCTCTATACCCCAGCACCAAGAAGCCCCAGCCAAGATAAAGGCCACAATGTGCTAGGTGCTGTGCATACACAGAGACAGCCGGCTCCTGCCCCAATGAACTGATGATCTAAATACACAAGGCAGATGCAGGGTGGGGGGAAAAGAAGCAGCATTATCTCCATCAGGGAAACCAAGTCACAGAGAAACTAAATGCCTTGCCCAAGATCACAGAAACCTCTGCAGGAACCAGGAACCCAGACCTCCAGAGGTCAATTGCCCAGTGGCCTATGCTTTCTCCAAGGGATGGCAAAGAAGGGCAGAAGGCAGGGAGTGGAAGTGAGCAGGGGAAAGTGAGGCAAGAGGGGTGGGTTTGAAGCAGGGAACACTTAGTACCGGAGGAGATTTGTCTGAACGTGACAGATATCAGGGAGGAGTGTTCCCCCTCCCCCACAGCAGACAGGGAGTTTTGACTCCTCCTCTGGGTTATCAAACATCTTCAATGAGAGAGGACCAAGAGGAGCCCCTTGCAGAGTTGACTTACTACTTCAGTCTCCATGCACAGGTTTCAACAAGCTTTAGGAAAGAGGGCAAAATGTCATGACCCTCAGTTCACCAAAGGGAACAAAGGAGGTTCAGAGAGACCACAGCAGGCAGGATCTAGAACTGGGAAGCAGACTCATTTCTGTAGACTCTCAGATTGGTGCCCTGTCCCTATGCCTGTGAGCAGAGGGGCCAATGCTTGGCTTAATTTATTGCCAGCTGCTTGGAGGCAAGTGACATGGGATCAATTTGGAAAAAAAAGGGGGGATTTGCAAAGCTTTGCACGTTCCTGTTTGTGACGCTCCTGGTGCTCAAAGATCCATTTCTACTCTGTTTATTTTTGTCAAAACATCTGTTTCCAGGATTTTTTTAAGGCAGTTAAAATTAGCAGTTTTGGGCCACAGAAAAACAAAAGACAAATTTATGCCAACGGCAACATCCACTGGGATCTTGTTCGTTTTACTGATTGTAAATAGCATTCTCCTCTCCCAGCCCCCAGCTCTTCTTATAAGGGGACTTTCCACTCCAAGACCTGCTGGAGGGTTGAGGGGGGGGAAATCACAGGTTTTGCTGTTGAAGCCAGTAAGTGGCTGCCAACTGCTTTCTGACAATGGAATTTAGCTGCAGCCTGGAGGAACAATGAGAGTGGATTAGGAGTTCAAAGCCAAAGTTAGACGTGTCATACTGGAACAGTTTTCCCCTCTCCAGGAAAAGAGCCCAACTTCACTTTATGTCTGTACTGATTAATGATCTCCCTAAGAGGACAGGCAAAGCCAGGCCAATGCCTTACCAAACTCACAGCAGATTGAATTGCTCTGTGCCCTCAATAAACCTGTTCTTCAGAGGAAACAGCTTTAATGAAAACAGACACTGAACAAACCCAGAGGATGGTTTCCAGCCTGGAGGGGGAGACCTGAAGTAGCAAAGGTTCCTTCACCCTTGGATGGAGCCAGCATGATTTGAATTACAGCAACATTTGGAGATCATAAGAGATGCCATATTGGGCGCATCTACACAAGACGCTAAAGGCGCAGTAGACTAATTCTACTACACATTAGCACAGCGGGCAAAACCTGTGCCAATGCCCTAATGTGCAGTAGAATTAATCTACTGTGCATTAGCATCACAAAAAACCCCATGTGCCTGCACTAATGTGCAGTTGCACCGATTACGACGCAGATAGTACCTGTAATTACAATGCACCGTAATTGTGGCTCATTAGTGAACATGCAGACACACTCACTGAGTTGCACTAAGGGCCCATCTAGCAGCACTATACCTAGACTCCTGGTGGCCCCAGGCAAACTTTTAGTTTTGGGCCTCCCTTTGCCAGAGACGATGGAAATAATAAATCATCATTATTTTCACCATTTTTGGGCCCCCTTTCTGTCCAGGCCCCGGGCAGCTGTCCAGTTCGCCCATGCCCATGTCCAGCCCTGCCATCTAACCCAGTAACCTGCCACTTACAGTGACAGGAAGTGAAAGCTAAGGAGGAAGAGTATTTAAGCAAGGCATATAGCACCAGAGCGCCCCAAGGGATGACAAGGTTGAAGGGTTATAAACTCCTGCAAGACCATTTCAGGCTGGACATAAGGAAGAACTGCTTTACTGTCCAAGCCCCCAAGGTCTGGAAGAGCCTGCTGCCGGAGGTGGTTCAAATGCCTACTTTGAACACCTTCAAGAGAAATCTGGATGTTTTTCTTGCTGGGATCCTATGACCCCAGCTGACTTCCTGCCCCTGGGACAGGGGGCTGGACTCGAAGATCTTCCAAGGTCCCTTCCAGCCTGAATGTCTATGAAGTCTATATAAAAAATGATCTATCCCCTGCCTCTCTCCCCCTAGGGCTTCTAGTTGGGAACCCCCAGCTGAAACCAATATCCCATTCTGCTTAGTGCGGTACCTCCCTTAAGAAAGGGAGACGGACACAGCTTACCACCTAAAGGAAACAAAACCAGATATAAGCAGAGAAAAGTGATCACGAAAGTGTTAATTATCTACCTGTTTAATTAGGCCTGATAACCAACAGATCATAGATTCATAGATGTTAGGGTGGGAAGGGACCTCAATAGATCATCGAGTCCAACCCCCTGCATAGGCAGGAA